GTTCCGGTAACCCTTCGGCTCTCCGGTTTTCTCCGAAATCACCCGGAACACTTCTGGTGTCCAAATATAGCCGTCCAATATATCAATCTTTATGTCTCAACCATTTCGAGACTCCTCATCATGTCCGTGATCACATTCGGGACTTCGACCTAACTTCGGTACATCAAAACTCATAAACTCATAATATAACTGTCATCGAAACCTTAAGCATGCGGACCCTACGGGTTTGAGAACAATGTAGACATGACCGAGACTCGTCTCCGGTCAATAACCAATAGCGGAACCTGGATGCTCATATTGGCTCCTACATATTCTACGAAGATCTTTATCGGTCAGACTGCATAACAACATACGTTGTTCCCTTTGTCATCGGTATGTTACTTGCCCGAGATTCGATCGTCGGTATCTCAATACCTAGTTCAATCTCGTTACCGGCAAGTCTCTTTACTCGTTTCGTAATACATCATCTCGCAACTAACTCATTAGTTGTAATGCTTGCAAGGCTTATGTGATGTGCATTACCGAGAGGGCCCAGAGATACCTCTCCAACAATCGGAGTGACAAATCCTAATCTCGAAATACGCCAACCCAACATTCACCTTTGGAGACACCTGTAGAGCTCCTTTATAATCACCCAGTTATGTTGTGACATTTGGTAGCACACAAAGTGTTCCTCCGGTAAACAGGAGTTGCATAATCTCATAGTCATAGGAACATGTATAAGTCATGAAGAAAGCAATAGCAACATACTAAACGATCGGGTGCTAAGCTAATGGAATGGGTCATGTCAATCACATCATTCTCCTAATGATGTGATCCCATTAATCAAATGACAACACATGTCTATGGTTAGGAAACATAACCATCTTCGATTAACGAGCTAGTCAAGTAGAGGCATACTAGTGATACTCTGTTTGTCTATGTATTCACACATGTATTATGTTTCTGGTTAATACAATTCTAGCATGAATAATAAACATTTATCATGATATAAGGAAATAAATAATAACTTTATTATTGCCTCTATGGCATATTTCCTTCACCGGGACCCTTCTGGTGGTCCCGGTACAATACCGATTAACCCCGAAACTTTCCCGATGGCCGAAACTTGACTTCCTATATGTAAATTTTCACCTCCGGACCATTCTGGAACTCCTCATGACGTCCGGGATCTCATCCGGGACTCCGAACAACTTTCGGGTTACCGCATACTAATATCTCTACAACCCTAGCGTCATTGAACCTTAAGTGTGTTGACCCTACGGGTTCGGGAGACATGCAGACATAACCGAGACGACTCTCCGGCCTATAACCAACAGCGGGATCTGGATACCCATGTTGGCTCCCACATGTTCCACGATGATCTCATCGGATGAACCACGATGTCGAGGATTCAATCAATCCCGTATTCAATTCCCTTTGTCAATCGGTACGTTACTTGCCCGGGATTCGATCGTTGGTATCCCAATACCTCGTTCAATCTCGTTACCGGCAAGTCACTTTACTCGTACCATAATGCATGATCCCGTGACCAAACACTTGGTCACATTGAGCTCATTATGATGATGCATTACCGAGTGGGTCCAGAGATACCTCTCCGTCATACGGAGTGACAAATCCCAGTCTCGATCCGTGTCAACCCAACAGATACTTTCGGGGATACCTGTAGTATACCTTTATAGTCACCCAGTTACGTTGTGACGTTTGGTACACCCAAAGCACTCCTACGGCATCCGGGAGTTACACGATCTCATGGTCTAAGGAAATGATACTTGACATTGGAAAAGCTCTAGCAAACGAACTACACGATCTTGTGCTATGCTTAGGATTGGGTCTTGTCCATCACATCATTCTTCCAGTGATGTGATCCCGTTATCAATGACATCCAATGTCCATAGTCAGGAAACCATGACTATCTGTTAATCAACGAGCTAGTTAACTAGAGCCTTACTAGGGACATGTTATGGTCTATGTATTCACACATGTATTATGATTTCCGGATAACACAATTATAGCATGAATAATAGACAATTATCATGAACAAGGAAATATAATAATAATCATTTTATTATTGCCTCTAGGGCATATTTCCAACACGAAGGACGGACGGTCAATCATCCACAACCATGCCTTAAAGTTGCAAACACCTTCAACATGAATGAAGGCTCAATATTCACCTTCCGCTTCAGCAGTTTTCCAGATGAGATGCATCTGTCTATATACCGTCTATGATGCTAATTTCGAAAGGTTCTACATGTTGCATGTGAAACTTGGTGCTGGTGCAGTTGTGTAATGGGGTAGCTGAGTGCTGAAGCTATATCATGTTGTACTCTGATGTACTTCAATTATGAAATTCTGCTTCCTTAATATGAAAATAAAATATATTATGTGCTTAATATGAATGTCAATTAGATTAATAAATAGATTATTAATAATAGGGCAATTAGCCTGCTAATGGCGAATTAACATGCTAATTGGGTTTTGCTATTGCAAACAGTTATTGAAAAAATACCATGGACGATGACCTCAAGCAACGCACATAGTTTCTAGGAATAAACCATGTTGGATCAATAAACGATCACACACGACTTTCTCTTGAAAACTGTTTGCATTAGGCCACCTTGCGCAAACGTTTACCACATAAAAACTGTGTGTGATGAACAGTCTTTATCACACAGTTTCTTCTATAGACCGTGTGTGATACATTCAATAACGCAAACGACTTAATGGGAAAAATTGTGTGTGATGTACCTATGAACGGAAACGTTTTCCTTGGAGCGGCTGTGTAGGATGTACATACGAAGGGAAACATTTAGCGGGGACTGACCGTGTGGGATGTACTTGCGATCGAAAACAATTTCGCCTGTATAATTGTATTTTTTAGCTCTACTATACGTATTTCTATATTTGAGCGCTCGTCGGTCGCACACGACCTCATTTTGCCGAGCATGTGTGCCAGAAGGGCATATCCCCGATGGTCTTGGGTCGTGTGGGAAGGACCCCCTTATTGCCCACACTCACTAGGCGACGGTTCTAAATGACGTCGCAGAAAGGGGTTTAAAACTGTTTGTATAGTATCGACGCATACCAGTGTCTCTCCGTAAAGAAATATAAGAGCGTTTAGATCACTACTCTAGTGATCTAAACGCTCTTATACTTCTTCATAGAGGAGCATAACCTAGCTGCATGAATTGCGAGATCGTCATCAACATCTTCTTCCTTTATGCTGCATTCTTGCTGGTGAGATTAGATCTATCCTGACATCTTCATAGTGTTTCTGGGTGCGATCATATAGTAATATTTTGTCGCATAGCACGTTCCCCTACATCAATAACTTCATATCTCATAGAGATTGGGGAAAGATATACACTTTGTCTCCTCTATTTACTTTGTTGTTATTGGATCTAAGACACACCTTTTGTATTGGCTTGGGATTTGAGGAGTACTTAGCTTGGATCTTGTCCAGTAGTTTTTTCCCTTGTGTTTCTTTTGGATTTGTGCCTTATTCTTTTGTTTCTCCTCGAATCCACCTTCAATTTGTAAAGATTGGTCCATCATAGGACCCACTAACAAACCAATTGATATCAGCCATAATATTTATGTCAAAATTATGATGGTACGCAACTTTTCTGGAGGGGATTTACATGATCCATTGATCCCACATGTTACACACCAGCACATAAAAAACAATTGAATCCAACATTAGTAGATAAGGTATAAGGTCTTTTTTAATGTGTTTCACATGCTCTGTCGATGGCAGTGGTATGTCATGCCCTACTATCAAACCTTCTACCGAAAAGTAGTTGCGCGTGTGAACTACTTTTGTGCGAACATGTGTGCATTGGTATCCATCCTCTTTGGTATAAAGAGTATGTATAATAGTATGTGCCAAAGGTTGTCGTGTCAAAAAAACCGGTTGAGGTTTTTTGCCTATAGTTTTGTAAAGTGAAGCATTAACATTGCCAAAAAGTTAATCTTACATCAAACAAAAGCCAATATTATAACCATGATTTACAAATTGGTAAACTTCTTTCTGTCACAATACAAACACACCAATAGCCTTCTCGAAACAATTGATATGCTCTGTTATTTGCCTAAATGTTTGATGACAACGATACATAAAAACCTATATACCTGCGGTAAGATACCGGCAAACCAAACAGTATTTACCATAAGAACTTGCTAATATTTTGAAAACCCACGTTTAAATATCTTTTCCGGGGGAGATTCGCATGCTATTTCCATAGCATCCCAGGTCGGACAAATCAACACGTGATTCTAGCATACGAAGCCCTAGAGCCTTTCTAGACACGCAACCACCTACAATCGCACCGTCCGGCCCAAAAACCCAACGGCCGGGATCTCCCCTCACAAGTCAGAGCCGCCCACCCTATTCCGTCCAAGTGACTGCGCGGTGGGACCATTGGACCGAGGGACCCACATCTCAGCCACCGGGCGCGCTCCCCGCACGCCGCTTACAAGGGGCCCCTTTGCTTCGCGATTCGAGCCTAAAGCTCGCGAGCGGCACAGCGAAGAGAGAGAAAGAGACGGGGACAGAGGAGAGAGAAACCCCAGGTCTCGCCGCCTCGCCTTCATCCGCTTTCGCCTCGCCGCCTCCGCGCCGCCCTCCGTTTCGAGGAGGAGGAGGAGGAGGGGGAGCTCCAGTGCTCGCGCCGCAGCGGCGGCGGCGGCGCCGGGTGCCTGCGCGAAGGCCTCGAGATCTCGCGGCGGCGCCGCCGGCTTTGTGTGGTGGTTGTGGTGGGTGCGGCGCCGTCTGCTCGGTGAGTTGGCTCGATCTCTCGCCGCGGCGCTTCCAATTGAGCTGCTCCGCCCCCCGAATCGAGGGTTTTGGAGGCCTCCTGCTCTTGGCGGCCGTGCAATAAACTAACCTCTCGCTTCGGGGGGTTAGGGTTAGGTTTTGGCTGAATTGTGGTGGATTTGGGTGGCCCAGGCGGCGCATTGCGCTCGCGAGCAGACTGGTCTGCGGGTTCCGCCACGCAATGATGGGGAAGACGCAGAAGTTCTCCAAGGGGCACCCGCTCGGTTTCGTGCCGGACTACCGATATGGGGTGGAAACTGTGGGGGTGTCAAAGGGCCTTGGGAATCCTGCAAGAAGTGAAGCCAAGAGAAAATGCATCAACCTCAATACGGACGAGGGGGCTGATGCTCCCGGATTTAATGTGCCGCGGGTGGTCTTTGAGTTGCCGAGGATGTCGGCCTCGGATAGGAATGAGCTGGAGATGAGGCTCCGTAACGAGCTCGAGCAGGTGAGGGCCCTCCAGAGTAGGTTGTTTTCAAGAGGGGCTACGACGAGCATGAATGGTGGGACTGCGTCGGCTCCCAGAGGTGATTTCAACAGCAATAAAAAGGATGGGAAGCTCAGGAGGAGCAATTCAGTGCAGTCCGGCAGAGGATTACCGCCATCAGTTGCCCAACCTGTAGTCAGCTCCATTAACTACACAGCATCGTTTAAAAAATGCCAGGAGCTTCTGAAGAACCTTATGAAGCATCGCTCTGCAGGCCCGTTTGTTATGCCAGTTGATCCTGTGAAGTTGTGTATCCCTGATTATTTTGATATAGTCAAGCACCCAATGGATTTGGGTACTATACAGAAAAAGCTGAATGCAGGTGTGTACCCTACACCTTGGGAGTTTGCCGCAGACGTGAGGCTTACTTTTAGCAACGCTATACTTTATAACCCAGTTGGTAATGCAGTTAACATAATGGCCCAGACTATGAGCAGTGTTTTTGAACCTAGATGGAAGCCTATCGAAAAGAAGCTTCCTCGACCAGATGAGGAACTCTCTGCAATTGAGCCTTTAAAAAATGATGCAGTTGAGAAAAATATTGTTGACAACAAAGAGCCTTTTGATAGAAGACCTTCAAATAAAGGTGCATATAAGAAAAACACCTTTCAAAAAGAGGAGGTGGTTGCCAAGCCAGTTTTGCACCCGAAGAAGAGGAAAGCCTCTCCTTTGGTTCAGGATGCTCCAGTAGCATCAGTGATACAGATGGCTCAGGTGGCTGAGGAGGTTCCAGTGGTACAAACTGCTATGGGAATGATGAGAGATGAACAAAAGGTTGCTCTAAGCGTAAGACTACAATCATATGGTGGATTCATTCCAGAACATGTAGTTGAGTTCATAAAGAGGCATGTTAATGATGATAATGATGCTGATGAAGATGAGTTGACTATTGACATGAACGCTCTCAGCGATGATACCCTGTTTGAATTACAGAAGCTTCTTGATGACTATGATAGAGTAAATCAGTCTGGAAATCCTACAAAAGATGAGCCTCAAGAAGTTGAGGTGGGTGCTATTGTCTTTGAGATTGATTTTTGTTAGTTAATTTACTGACCATTGTTTCCTTCTGCTCAACAGTTCCAAAGTGAATATGGACTTGCCAACTCATCAATGCATCATGAAGGTCGCTTTCTCCTCATTTATTTTTTCCATGGCACTAATTGTTGTTCTAAGTTAATACTGCATACGTCTTAGCAGGCAATGAGCTTGTTGAGGAAGACATTGATATTGGTGGGAACGATCTTCCACCTTTAACATACCCCCCTGTGGTATTTGAAAGTGAAACGGCAGACAGAAGCAGCAAGCATAGTTCTTCTAGCAGTTCTAGTAGTGAGTCAGGATCATCCTCCAGTGGTATGTATTTTTATCCATTTATCTTCACATATTACACTACCTAACTTTGTATCTTGACTTAACTGTTACCAGGCCCAGCGATATGTTCTTTTGTTTTTACTTTTTACCATTCCATGCCATTCAATGCTGCATGCCGCAAATTGATAACTTTGCCCCTTAAGGCTGTTCAAATTTTTCCCCTGTGCTCACCTATTCGACAGAGTCTTAACGATTCTTAGTGTCAGCAAGTGTTGATAAGTTGAAATCGGTAGTATTGAACAGTGTCCTGTTTGTTTCTAGTTTGATACTCCCTCTGTAAATAAATATAAGAGCGTCTAGATCACTACTTTAGTGATCTAAACACTCGTATACTCCCTCCGTCCTAAAATAAGTGTCTCAAGTTTATACTAACCAGTACAAAGTTGTACTAAGTCGAGACACTTATTTTGAGACGGAGGGAGTACTTTAATTCAACTTTAGGGCCTGTTTGGGACTGCTCTGCTCCATCAAAATCAGTTCCGCTCCACCAAATCCACTTTGGAGCAGTTTCATACAGGAGTTGCAACTCTTCCAAAGAGAATGTTTGGCTTTCATCTAGCTGCAGCTTCAAGAATGGGAAATTTGGTGGAAAGGATCTATTTGATTGGATGAGTGGGGAGAAACGAAGGGGTATCCACTTACTGGTGTCAAATTTCCTTACAACTCCAGCTTCTAAAGTTTTTTGGAGCACCTCCTAAAGAGCTTCACAAAAAACAGGGAGTTGTACCCCAGATTCTAGTTTTTTTGTGGAGCGGCATGTCGTAGATTTACCCTGTTTGGCTTGCGTTTTTTTCTAGAGAAGAGTTTAATTTCAAGGAGCGGAGCAGTCCCAAACAGGCCCTTAGAAAGATGTTCAACATGCTAAATGTTGTTCATAGCAACTCGCCTTGCTAGCAATCTGATTGCCTCCATATGGCAGCAAAAAGAGCCCGTATGCCTGCGTGTGCTTGCAGTGCTAACAGGTGATTCTGCCGGCCCAATTTCGGGCAGAGTCACTAAGTTTTAAAAAAATAATTATTGCTGATAAATCACATATTGGCGTTCACTATTTGTGTTGTGATGGTAGCTCACATGTTAACATTGTAGAATTTTGTTCTTATCTTATCTGAGGGGCAGCAGTTGTTGTTCACTTTTGCTCATACTGCTGATCATTTCTTATTTAAGATCCTTTTTTAATTGATTCCCAGCTAACTGTAGCAGGCTAACAGCTAGTAGCACTTAGTACAGAGCATTATGATACCACAGCATGTGTGAGCTGGTAGTAACTTTACTTATGCTTCCTTTGTGAAATTCCCTTTCTCCATTTCATTTCGCATGAATCATGCTTGTGAATATGAGATATATAATGCCCAAGCGCATTTCCTTAAGGGGGATAAAAAGGGAGAATGAGTGAGCAAAAACTGAGTGTTTCTGTGAAATATTTACTTTGCCTTACTTATCCATGTACAAACCTCTTTGACATAATATGGCAGTGTTAACCATGTTAGAACATAGGTTTAGTACTATAAACATTCCTTGTTTCCAAATGCCAAATGCCATAAACAGAAGTTCGCATCAATTAATTCACTGGACTATAGTAGTTTCAACTGATAATTGGTGTAGTGTCCGAAATATAATAATATAGAAGTAGAACATATTCTCTAATACCATGGTCTAGTTTCACTAATAATGCTATACAATTTTCCTGCTATATTGGACAACCCTGTGTATCTTGCAACCGTTCTCAGGAACCGTTGGCTGGCCCACTCTGTAGGTCTGAAATTAAACTAAGACCTGTTTTTTAGGTTCATTGAATTATAACTTTTGAATACCTGCTTTTGAAAACCTGTGTCTCTTGGGCTACATTATTATGAATGTCTGTAAATTTCCTTCCTTCACTGTGTTACACGATGAAACCAACATGAAGAAAACTACCCGATGTCCATAAATTTCTTTCTTTCATGATAAAACCCAAATGAGGAAACAAGCCAATATCTATTGGTGCATGGTATTCCAGTTCAGTCCATGTGATTTTTCATGCCCAACAAGGTGATCATTTTATTTCTTCTTATATCTTCAGGTTCGGATTCGAGTAGCTCTTCTGGAAGTGATTTGGGTGCCAAAGTTCCTTCGACAAACATCGGGGCTAAGGTGCTTCCGCACACTTGCTGTATTCTGAGTAGTTTTTAGAACCATACAAGTCTCAAACAAAATTGACGTGCTACTCACCAAAAGATTATTTTGAACATCGGTGTCCTCAATGGTTGCTCTCTGTTTACATGCAGGAGAACGTACTACCCGTGTTTAGCTTGGACCAGGAGAACGGTAAGAGGTTGCACATAATACATTGTTTTTTAAGCCAAACCAGCTCTTGCAAGCACATCATCAAACTAACTAGACCACTTGATTCAGTAACAAAGCCAGCCTTCACAAGTTAGCTCCAGTAACCTATTTCTCATATGCCTCGATGGATTAAACTCAGTCAAAGTTTTAAAACTTAAAATAATGTTAGGATTGGTGTTTGGCTGGCACAAGCCAACCCAAACTATAGACAATCTGAGCAATTTATCCTGCCAAAATTAAACTATTAGAACTACTGGCAAATTAAATTACACGTGAGGTCTACTATTCTGCATAGGATGGGACAATTCAGCCAAATCTAACCTGTTTATTTCAAACAAATTTTGACCTACAACACGTCAAAATATTTGGAGGTGTGTTAAATCCAAATTGCATTCAAGTGGAGTCTGGTATCCGGTTTAACCCATCTCTTCGGAGCCATATTGACCCACTAAAAATTTAAGTGTTACAGAAAGTGGTGGATTGTCACTTCTTTACAACCCAGACTGTTCAAATGGAGCCTGTTATCCGATTTAACCCATCTCTTCAGAGCCATATTAATCCACTAAATATTAAACTGTTAAAGGAAGTGGCTTATCATCTCTTCCTTACATGTGGGTCAATTTTTGGGTCTACATGTTATCTTTGATACCTTCCTTTGAACTCTCTGTACTTCTTTTGAACATGTGTTTTTTATATAGAATTTTAGAAACAATGTGGAATTCAGTTGACACCCAAACTTATCACAGTGCTTATCGATTGGCTTTGCTGTACTTCTGCAATTTTGGAATAGCTACTTGTGTCTTATGTATATTTACTACTTTCAATTGATATTTTTGCAGATTCACAGGATACATTGAATATACAAGAACAATGTGCTGACCGTGTACCTATTTCTGCTGATGATGAGGGTAAGCTTGTACTTCTATGCGGTCTCTTAGTACCCAGAGCATGTTTGGTACGTTTCTTTTACAGTTTATTAAATGGATCAATATTTCAGAGGAGAACGTGTCTGATAAAAAATACCGAGCTGCCCTTTTGAAAAGCCGCTTCGCTGATACAATTCTCAAAGCTCGTGAGAAGGCTCTTGATCAGGTATGTGTTGGAATAGTTTATTGCGTTGCTGCCTGGCCTTTGGTGGATGCTATTCCCAGTAAGATTCACATGATCCTTCATACCAGGTGAAGGATCCTGAGAAAGTTCGGCGCGAGAGGGAGGAGCTTGAAAGGTTACAAAGGGAAGGTGAGATGAAATTGGTATATTTGGGCTGGTATGCGAGCTGCAATACTGTTTATTGAGGCACAATCTTCATTACAGAGAGAGCTCGGTTACAAGCTGAGGCTAAAGCTGCTGAGGAAGCTCGCAAGAGGGCTGAAGCAGCAGCCGTTGCTGAGGCTGCTGCAGAAGCTAAACGCCAAAGAGAGCGTGAAAGAGAAGCAGCTCGTAAAGCCTTGCAGCAGGTAAACCTAGGATGCAATTTGGCAAGCAACATCTTGCTTTGTTGATATCCATACTCTGAAGTGCAGATAGTATTGATTGCTCTTTTGGTATCCTACTCTGAAGTGCAAATACCATTGACCCTGCAGATGGAGAAAACTGTAGAAATCAATGAAGGGAACCTCTTCCTGAAAGATTTTGAAATGCTTGGAACAGTCACAGGTGAACAGAATCTCAACTTGGTCGGTGAAATGAGTCCAAGCCATACACCTGAGCCCCTCGGATTTCAACTTGGGGGCAACCCCCTAGAACAGCTTGGATTGTATATGAAAAATGACGACGAAGAAGACGAGGAAGTCGAGTCCGCAGATGAACCAACAGTTGATGTTGAGGAGGGCGAAATAGACTGACAGCTTATGGTGCATTTTCAGTGATAATCTGAGTGGAGCCTGTGGCTTGACTGGACCGGATAACTGTTTTTTGATGTTTTTGATATATGAAGTGCACATCACCCTGGCGGTTCCATTCCTCTACAGAACTTATGAGCTGCACAAGTTTTTGGAGCAAAATATGGTTGATCAAATGTAGTAGCAGGCACTGGAACCAGTCTTCATGCATGCGGGGTCCCATGGAGTCAGCCCATCTTTGGATGGGTTCATTGGTAGCCATGATGAAGTAATGGACGCCCCTGTGCTTTTCTGGATGGATATCTGGAAGATGATACTGAGGGAAAGGGGGGTGTTAGGGGGGATGGGTGGGGTTGAGGTGGGGTGCGTCCCTGGCTCTTATAGAACAACTAATGTGAGCCGTTTTGGGGTAGTTTCGGTGACATTTCATGTTGTGAATGTAATCCTGGAAACTGTACAAAGAGGTTGCCTGATAGATGGAAAACCGTTCTTTTTTCTTCTGCACTTGCATCTCTCATCATTACTTTATCTCTCTTCATATTGTTTGGGATATCCCGAGTTTACCTCGGATTAGGATATATAGAGGAGGTAAATTAATTTTTGTAGGATGCGATAAGCTTTAGTTGGCTGCTGAGACACTTGCAGTGTAATCAAGGTTAATGGTGGCTATTATTTATTTATCTAATTTTTTTTGGCAAATTTAGTTGGCCAGAGGCGGCAAATCCTGCTGTTTTTTTGCTGCAAAACTTTTCTTCTTCCAAGAAAATGTCAACCCCATACAACTAAACTTGTCACCTAAAATGTTCGCAAATGCCAACCCCTCCTAGGGGATGTTCGCTGATCCTATTATATCGCTTGGAATAGGCGTCAGTAATCATCCCTGACTTTTTTGAGGAAGTTTTAAATTTGTATTTTAGGAAGGATCTTCCCTCACTTGTTACATTCTGCGTTTAGGTTGATTAACACTGTTACTATATTCTGAACTAAAATAAAAATTCCCAGAACAGCATGTGTAAAGGCAGCATTAAGGAGAAACACAATTAAAAGCTTAAACATATCGCAGGAATAATCCAATCAAATGTATGGATCTTGCACTTAATTTGACATGTCTCATGGTATATATGAATCCTTGCGCCTATTTTCATAGCTAGTGCTCTGCAAAATAATACGAGTACATGCATGAAAACTCCCGGCGCTGCAAGCGGGCTGGACCCCTTCACGATTTACCCCCAACACAGCCCTCCTCCGGTCTAAACTAAGCAGACCGTCCGACATCTGCGACAAGCCGTGATACCATGATCTTTCTTCTTTGCAGGGACAGAAAATAAAAATAAAAATCTGGCAGTAGAATCGCCAATCGCGAGGCGATGATGATGAACGGCACTTGTAGTGATCTATGAGTAGAACTTGTATGTCTTGGCAGAAATGATGATCTGCCTGAGCCCTCCGATGGGCGCGATGATCATCAGAATGACACCAAGGACGATGCAAATCTGAAACCCAAAAGGAAAATCAGGACGGGATTATCGTTTGAAGAAAAGAGAGGGATAAAAGCCTTGGATCTCTGGGTTGGTTCTTACCCAGTTGGTGAACCATGAGAGGCTGAATCTCCTGGGCTTGCAGATGATGAGCCACATGATGCAGGGCAGCTGCAGGCAGCCATGACAGTTACATATCGTCCAATCTCACGAGAAGCTCTGAGTGTATATTTGCTGTGATGAAAGGTGTCTGATGAAAATGCTTACGAAATAGGTCGTCGGCGCGAAGGCCAGCCCGCCGAAGAACCCGATGAGGCCACCGAAGAACGGGAAGGTCATGCCGACGAACATGGTGAAGGCTGCACATGTCGGTGTTTTGGTTGGTTATTCAGTATACAAGATGCCTCAAAACTTGCGACGAGATTAGTCGACGGGGCATTACCAACATAGATGGTCCGGGTGATCAGACGGAGCATAATGCCTGGTGCGAATTCCAGCTTCCTCACCAGAAACGTCTCCATCATGTCGAACACTGGCATCGCGTAAATCTGCACAGGAACAATCAAATTTTGTTGTACCGTCAGATATATCGTCCTAGCTCTGGTACAATGTCACGTTCTAGGTATCCAAAGTAACTGAACGAAATGATTGTAAGGATCTACATACCTGGTAGCTACCGATGAGATGAACGACGACCATCATGTTGGCCATGGCGATGAGCCACTTGGGCTTGTTGAGGGTGATGAGGATGTTGTCGTCGACACTGTTGCCAAACGCCCAGTAGCCGATAAATGCCACCGGCATGTAGCAGGCGGCGATGATGATGTAGGCGACCACCACACCCTTCCACATTGGCTTCTTGGACGGGTTGCCCGGCGTCGATGGGATGGTAGCCTGGATTTCTAGCACGACATTGTGGCCAGAGTAGGAGAAGGCCACGTCGCCGAGCCCCCCCAAGAAACCGAACACCTGCCCTGCTGTCGTCGATGCCCGCAGGCTGTAGTCCACGTTCTCCGCCCTCCCCTTGTCCAACGAGGCGCCCCAAGCAATTGTTGAGTAGCTGCATCATGAGTTATTGTCAACGGCAATTGCTTGCTAGCTAAAGTTCTTTTTTTTCAGAAACTTGTCGGATTTGCTACAGTGAGCATATGACAGCTAGTGCTGGTGCAGACATTCGGAATTAACCTGAGTGACATGACGGCTGCAGCGAGGGAGATGCCAGAGATGGAGTTGAAGTTTGGGAGCTGGGAGAGGACGAAGTGGACAGAGGCGAAGATCATGATGAAGTAAGTGAGCTTTATGTCCTTGCACTTGCCGTCACAGATCACGTCGTGGAACTTCTTGAGAGAGTTGCCGCCGGTAACCATGTACACAATGTTCAAGCTGACCTCGACGACAAGCTGCTGTGGCACCACGATCCAGAGGCCGAGCTTATCACCGAAGGCGTGCTGCCCGAGCTCATGGTACCGATCGAAACGCTTCCCAGGGACTATCTCATGCATCTCCACCATCTGCCACAGCGTGTACACCGTGATGATCCACGACAAGGTCATCACCGCGATGCCAGGACCCCTGCGCCAAAACAAAAACATCAGGGAACGCCAAATGATTGGATCATGCCATTGCAAGTTTGTAGCTTTGAAAACTGCCCGGCTGTGAGTATGGCATGTGGAACCCACATGCCATTCAGATTGCCAGTCACAGTTTCAGAAGCAGACAGACGAGCCATGGCTCCAATGTATGGATGTCATGGCAGTAGCAGTACATACCAACCGAGTTCAGACATGGCGTAGGGGAGGCTGAGCACCCCAGCGCCAACCATGGCGGTGACATTGTGGAAGGCCGAGTACCACCACTTTGCTTTCCTCGACGACGTGATAGGAAGCCAGTCATCGATCGCCTTCTCCCGTGCAGTCCTCTCATCCTGTGGGTTTTCAGTATTCTGTTAGCTATAGACATCATCATCACATAACAGCAGGTTTTTTTTTTCAAATTTAGAATATCACACAATAAGAGCTAGTATGCCAAAATTATTTGGGACTTATCAACAACAATTAATTTGTAACCTCCTGGCATTTCTTTCATTTTTTATGTCATCTAATAAACTTAAGAGACGGATAATTGGCAACTTTGAATTTTCGGAGGTAGAGTGGTTCCTTTTCTTCCGGGCAGTTGACTTGTCACATGGCCAAGTAGTCGCACTTGCCCAAGACAAATGTGTCATCAGATGCTTATCAATCAATGACACCTCACGGTAAACATGTTTGATTTTTCTATCAAGCACGTTCACCTAACAATGTTGCATGATACTACTAGTCTCAAAATACTTTGTTTGCATATCTGGAATACGGAAGTTCTTCTGCTAAAGCATCCATTTTCACAATTTCTAGTGAAAATCCACCATCGACAGGATATTACCAGAATCTAATTTTGAGTTGATTATTTTTTCAACAGGGGTAAGCGCCTTTCTATTAATTTCTTAATCCAAATAAGAAGTCCTTGCATGATGCGTAATTTTTTTGCATTCTATATATAGAATAATCAATCGCATGGTAGCAATTAACACCAAGATATGGATATCCAACTATATTAAAATGGTAAGTAGCCCACCGTAGAAATACTAGTAAAAGGAAACTAGTTAATGGGGGAGTTCAAAGAGTGTGATCTGTTTTTTTGTTCGGTAGGCTAGTGTGAGCTATTTCTGGCCTTGGAAAGAAAAACAAGGCTGGACAGAAAGTACAAATGAAGACCTTTCATACTCGTTAGTCCAAGAACAAGGTGGACCATACGACAGAAGCAGCAAAACTGTTTAATTTCATTCTAGATATTTTTCTTAAAAAAATATGGAAAATACTCCTACTTACTCGTTTCCATATTATATATTTGAAACAAGAAACGCAACGTACTTATTGAGGTATATATATACTCCTATATTGTAAAACAGACTGGATGATGGTAATTTTAAAGTAACACAACAGCTGGAAAAACAACGAGGGAACAATGATTAATTTAAAGGGAAAAAGGTAAAATTCCGCAGTTAAGGCAAAGCATCAAGAATCACACCGATCATATGACGCTGATACTTATGTACACACGTTCTTTTCCCTTCTTGATCTTCTGCAGGAAAAGAAACCAAAAAGTACTAGCCCAAAAGCACCAAGAAGATGAGATTGGATATCACTATTAGACACCACCACGATTTCACACGGGTTCCTCCCCCCAAGAAAAGGATTTCACATGAAGAGGATGAACTGGTGCTACATGCCGGGAGAAGAGAATCCTCCACGCAGAAAGAAAGAAAGAAAACGGCGTTTTCCTTTTGTCCTTTTTTGCGCCTGTCGATTTCGCTCCCCGCTTTTCGGAACTCCACAACTCCCCGACCTTTTGTTTCATCTCTCCCTTTCTCTCTCCCCTCGAGAAACCAGATACAAGAAACAGAGTTTGAACAAGATGAATGGACTGTTTCGTTCGTGGATACAGAACATGAACATTGCGAATAAAACAGATCATAACATACAGACGCAGCAGAGGGGGAGAGAGAGAGAGAGAGAGGAGAGGGGGAAAGATTTGACCTTGGGCGGCGTGTAGTTGTCCGGCGAGGCCTGCGTCCCCATGGCGCCTGGCTTCTCTTCCGGCGGCACGGAGCTTCCCTTCGCCAATGGGCGGCCGGAGTCACACCAAGGAGAAGGTGGAGAGAAACAAGGAGATGGAGATGGAGCTCGCAGGTATGGAGGAGGACGAGTCGTGGTGGTTTTTATAGAGGGAGATTCAGGCGGGGGCGCCGTATGCACTGTGAGCGATCGAGGAGCACGTATCCCGCTGGGTTAGTTATGAGTTTGTTTTCCTTCTTCTGTAGCCTAGCTTAGACTAGAGAAAAAAAAACAACAACTGGAATATCGTTGGGTGGACCGTTGACTCCAGCGATGCAGCGGATCCGGTGTTCCAGCGGCCAGTTGTGGCACCCGCGTCCGTGTGTCGTTCGTTCATCTGCGAAGCGGGCGGGATGCCGTTCGTCCGATCCTGCCTCCCTCGACGGTTGCGATGAGGCCACGTCGCGGGGGTGACAGAACGTGATGTACGGACTATTCAATTCTCTTTCCAAGCTTGTGCACGTGAAATTTGTAATTTTTTTTAAGAAAAAAAGCACCCAAGTGGACACGATTCTTTCTCTCGTAATTTATAGATCCCGTCGCGGCGTAAATGCACCTCTGCGCTTGGCTGTGTTGACAGCCACGCCAAGTTGAAGGCTTGCCAAATTTATATACTCCTATGTACCACGTTCACGAGCCAAATGCGTCGAAAAGGAAACAACTCCACTTGTACACTTTATGGGTTTGATTGTGAATAGTCGCCAGCCCACATATTTTTTTTTAAACTTAGCCCACATTTTTACAGTACACATATTGTCAAAGCCGATTTAAACAAACATATTATGGAATGGAGGGGGTAGTATATATTGTTACAGTACACATATTGTTGAATGTTGGTTATGCGTGCAAAGTTTCAGGTAGCATGCATGCACACCACGGACAAGTAAATATATACTACTTCCTCGAGTAGGCACGATCTGAACCCAGAGGCATTTGCACCCACTTTTTCTAGAAAAAATGCATTTTAAGTACATCTTAAAATCTCAAAAATAAACAAAAGAAAATTTCATGCATACATGTTCACAAATGTGTGTGCGCGGCGCAAAAATTTGTGAAAAATGTTTTTTTGTTTTGTCTCCGTAAAAAAGAAAAATTTCAGTGCTCCTAAATAACGTTTCACGACACAATTTTTTGTCTTTTTTGCACAGGCCATAAAAAATTTATTTTTTCCATGAAACTTTATGCACGCACATAGAACATGAATATGTACCCATGCCACCTTTTTCGGATTTTTTTAGCATTTAGAAATGTGGTTTTCAAAGTGGGTTCATATGTACTCGGGTTTATCCATGCACTTCCCCTACTCCCTTCATTCCATAATGTAGTGTGCCCGCGTTTCCTGAGATTCAACTTTGACCGTAAATTTAACCAATGAGACCGACTGTAGCGGGAGCAAAAATTATATCACCGAATTCGTATTTTCGATATGAATTTAGTGGTATAATTTGTACTCCCGTCGCAATCGGTCTCGATAGTTAAATTTATGATCAAACTTGAATCTCGGGAAGCACGGACGCATTACATTGTGGAATGGAGGGAGTAACTCAGTTGCGTATACAACTTTTGATCGCAAAAATAGAACACCACGAGGACAAATGGACATGAACTGCTCTGTTTCGCACACGTTCTCTCGTGTTAAAAAATATCCAAGTCTCTATCACACTAGGTGAAGTATATCATTTTTTTTCGCAGGTGAAGTATACAAATTTCAAGTGTGCAGTAGTACGTGCTTGTGTGATTAGCCACCAACATGGTCACCATGCGGCAAGCCTGATAAGCTATAATAAAAACAAGCAACCAACATTGTTGGTGGACTTGCCGTGTGCCTGTGCTACGTATGCAGTCCAGTTTAGTGGCGTAAACCGCAGGAGCATCAACTCGCGTGCAATACATGAGTTGTTGTCTATCTCTCCTTGTCGACTTGTCGTCGATAAATAGTTGTGTTGAATATTTGACCTAATTATACCCGTCGACTTGTCAAATAGCACTTTATTAGTTTGTTTTCGTGATTTTCCAACATTTTCCATCTTCTCCCATATGTAATTTTCTCAAACTTTTCCTCCATTAATTATCCTCTCTCTCTCTCTCAATTTAAATAACTTTAAAAGTTATTTTCATGACCTAAAAAAAGAGAATTTTAATCGCATTGGCCAACAAATAAATGTGAATCAAGCAGTGAAATCTGACACAAATTCTCATCCAATGAGCTCCTAGGATTGAGGGCGAAGGTGATGACGATGACATTTGGTGATCGCGGTGGATGCTCTCTTCTCGGCTGTGTGTGTGGAGTCTTCTTGGTAGCCAAGTTGACCGGGTGCCCTGTGTACCATCTTGTAGGCTTGTTGCGAACTAACATGTGGTTGGATGGTTAGAGGAACCGAGGTATCCCCAGCCCATTAGGGTTCAAGTCCTGGTGCTCACATTTATTTTTGAATTTATTTCAGGATTTTCGGCGATGCACATTCAGTGGGAGTAGATGTTCCCGTTGACGACGAGGTGTCTACGGTAACTTCATAAATTTCAAAATGATATGCCGGCTCAGTCTTTCGGAGATGCTCATAGGGGTAGGGTGTGCGTGTGTGCGTTCATAGGGGTGAGTGTATGCGTGTGTGTATGAGCGCTTGCGTTTGTACTGTGTTAAAAAAAATCTCGTGGGCTTGTTTCAAATTCGGTTTTCCATAATGAACTGAAAAGTTCTCTTTGTATGGCAAGTGTTCTGCCTTGTTTAAAAAGAAGTTAGATTCTAATTCTAGTCTAGGAACTGAACCTGCATAAATACCTCAATCCCCTATTCCTAAATGGTTGCAGCTAATTAAACATTTTTTCTCCAAATGCCCATGTCACATCATCAAGTCATGCATGTGGTTATATGTCACATTTTTCTCTCCATTAATCCATGCATGCAAACCATGACATCTCATCAAGGTATATTAGTCATAATCTACTTTCTTTTGCACTAATTCTTTATGGTCATGGGTGATATATGTGTTTGACTCTTGGAGCAAATCTTTGTAATTCATGCTTCACATTTTTTTTGTTAACAATTACATTTCGCTAAGTTTAGCCCAGAAGTTTTCTCTTTTTATACATAATTGTGTCACATTCTTCGTATGTTTATTGTTTCAAAAATGTAAACCAACAACACCCTTATACTTGCTTTTACATTAGTTTTAATTGTTTTCACACATATTTATGCACTTTTTAAAACAATCCTCGCATTAACACATGGAATGTCATCTAGTTTATTTTTAATACTAGGTTCAGAGAGAGAGAGAGAGAGAGAGAGAGAGAGAGAGAGAGAAAGAAAGAGGGGGGAGGGGGACGTTCAAAAAATCATTTACTTTCTCGTGCACTAAATCTGTATTTTCGGCTTCATTTCATGTTTTGAAGTGTCATAGTAGATGTTCATTTATTTGTTCTCTTATTAAACAAAGCTAAATTGATATAATTCCCACTCCGCAAAGAAAAAAAGGACCGGTAGAATTCCTGGCTTCGACAAAGCAATTTCTGGAACACACAAAACAGAAGAAGAGGCTAGGTCGGATTTGTTCAGACGTGCCCGAATCTGGCTTCTGCGATGGTGTTGGGACGACCAGGTCGGTGGCATTGCGTGGTGCAGCTGGCGTCGGCACGGCTGTTCTAATCGGCGGCTCTGTGCTCTGTTGGTAGGTGGTGGTTTAGGCCGGCGGTGGTTCTCGTGCGCCGGTTCGAGGGGAGGGCTTCTTATGGCTGCTCGGGGGCATAAGCCTTGCTCTGTCTTTGGCCGGAGCTGATGATGGCGACGCGTTTGGGTGCCGCACACCTTTTTGGAGGCATTGTCATCCGAGGTCCTACGCCTTTCTCTCTCACACTCCGGGGGAAACCCTTGTTCCATGTTCCTGGAGCAGAGATGGAGGGGTGCCGACATTGGTCACTTGGGTGGCAATGTTATTGGCCAGCCTGGTGCGCGGGCTCGGGGTTGGCGTGGATGTCGCAGCGGCAACTCCGGACCTCGTCGTCGTGGAGTGGTGCCGGCATTGGTCACTTGGGTGGCAGTGTCATTGGCCAGCATGGTGCGTGGACTCGGGGTCGGCGTGGATGTCGGAGCAGCGGCTTCAGATATGATTGTTGGGTGTCAACTCCGGTTGCTAGGGCGACGACGCTGGCGGCTCGCCTAGTGCGTGGCCTCGGGGGAGGCGTGTGTGGTTTCCGTTTGTACGTCAGATAGATGGCTCCGGAGATGGTTGTATGGTGTCGGAGCAGGCGGCTCACCTGGTACGTGGCCTCGGGGTCGGCGTGGATGCCGGAGCGGCGACTTCGGTTTTGGCTGTAGCTTGTCGGCTATGGGTTGCTCGGGTTACAGAGCCGGCGACTCGTTCGGTGCGTGGCCTCAGGGTAGGCGTGTGTTGATGGTGCCCTATTGAGGGTGTCTTGTAACGGGTTTTGCCCGGTTTTCATTAGTTAACCGGGCAACTTTTTTCTATCCTTTTCAATGAATCGGTCCTAAAAGACCACAAAAAGAAAAAGAGAAGAAGAGAACGTCAATTTTCTTTTAAACTATTGAACTGTTGGAGGAGTATTAAACTAAACTATTGGAGGAAAGAAAACGTGAACTGAACACCGCGTACGAGAATATAGAGCCTCCGTGACAGCACTATCACACCAAGTTCCGCACGAACGTCTTCAGAGTTCAGACCGATGACAGCAACCCAACCCAGCGACGGCAAGCAAAGCTAGCAGACTGGAACTGCTCTGCTTATTATACGCGCTTATATACATAGGAGTATATTCAACGTTAGCGTAATCCAAGATTACAGCCCTCAAATCCCGGGCTGCCAGGAGTACACAGAGCGCAGCAGCAGTGCGTAGCATTACGCCTGGTCAACCAATCATGTGTCCACATCATGCAAGTGGCTTACGTGATCAGGCCCACGCTTCGTCCTCGATAATGCTACACTTACGGCCCGCTGCTACGGACCAAGCGA